CGACGAGAGAAACTTATATGAGTGGGCAGATCTGTAGAAGCTGTAGACAAATACAAAGATAGACGAACACGAGAGAAACGCTTATCTTTATTTATTTCTGCTTTTTGTGCTATTAATTTAGTAAAGTTATTCCCCACAACTGCCTCCTTTTCCAATACATTACAGGCATATAAAACCGGCTTAGAGGTTAGTAGTTGTAGCTGGTCTAAATCTGCTTTTCTATAAGTGCCTATCAGGCTACGTGCTGGCTTACCTCTTATAAGCTGTGCTTGTACTATTTTTAATAGCTCAACTGAGTCTTGCAAAGCTTTATCTCCACTCTTTAAACGCTTTTCAGCGTTTACTAACCGCTTCTCTACTGATTCAAGATCTGCTAATATTAATTCCATATCTATTATCTCAGCGTCATCTATAGGATCGATTTTATTATACACATGCGTAATATCTATATCCTCAAAGCAACGCAATACATGCAAAATAGCGTCTACCTCTCTTATATGAGATAAAAATTTATTGCCCCTTCCCTCTCCTTTACTTGCTCCTTTCACTAAACCAGCAATATCCACAAATTCTATATAAGCGGGAATAATTTTCTTTGAGCCCGCAATCAAAGCTAATTTTTGGAGCCGAATATCTGGGACAGATACCACCCCTAAATTGGGTTCTATAGTACAAAAAGGATAATTAGCAGCTTCAGCTGCAATACTTGAAGTTAAAGCATTAAATAATGTAGATTTACCAACATTAGGTAAGCCTACAATACCACATTTCAATGTCATAATTTTATTTATAATATTTTAGGTGCTATGAAAGAAATTTTTTTAGAAGTGATTTAGGCGTATTTTATCTATAAAACTTTTACTATTTTTTGACAAAAATTCTTTAAATCACTTCTAAAAAAATTTCTTTCATAGCACCTAGTTAAGGAGAGATACATGCTTCACGTATAGCCACTCCATTTTTAAATTTTTCCCATTCCTTGGAAAGTAAAAAATGAAAATTATCTACAATGATTTTGATAGAACTTGCAATAATTTGACTTTCTTCTT